GTGCCAAGAGGTTCCCTCTCTGGATTCTTGTTTTCTTTTTTTCAATCAGTATTTTTAAGGGGATTCATCTGCTCCAGGTGCTGATGAGCTAATGTGGTGGCCTCGCCTCGCTTTCCTGTGCAAAGTGCCTGCAAGGTGCAGCCAACAGCTTCTGTTCAGGCTCTTGCCAGAGGGTCAATGGGGAGATGCTCATTTATCTAAATGTACACGGTTAGGACATGACATGATGCTACCAGCCTTGTAACTCTGGGAAGCCCTTCAGTGCTTCCCATGACACTTAATCCTAGGAGGGGACCAAACGTTGCCCCTTCTGCTGAAGTCAGTGGGAGCCGAGCTCCGAACACATCTTGGGAATAGGTTCCAAATCTCTTACTGGTTGCATTTATTAGCAAGTTGGTGCACCTACTGCCAGCTAGCTTGAGAAGCTTGCAATGCTGAAGGTAGCAAAATGGAAGTCTTCTTGGAAACAAGGTGGCTTTTCTAGGCAAAATATTCAGCTGTGCCTATATATTCATATAATGTGTTAGTGGAATACCCCACTATGCATTTTTCAGTCTACCCACATGCAGGTTTTATCCACATTTGCAATCTATTTTATACTGAACCAAAAGTAACAGAAAATAAGCCTTGAACATTAGCAGGGGCGAGGGAGGTAGGTTTACTCCCTGAAAGAGCGGAGGCAAAGGGCTTATGCCCAAGGCTCTTGGAAGGCTGAACCATAACTAAGAATTGAGCCCAGATCTTTTGAGTCCCGGTTCTGTCTTAACCACCAGACTATAATTTAGAAGTTTTGTTTCAAACCCAGAACTTGCCCGATCTCATAGATAGGTATAATTCTACTTTTTCCTGTCTTGTAGTAATGTCATGTATCTCTAATTGTTTGTGGAGTCCTTTGTGTTTCTTGGGAAGAACACGTGAGAGAATTACGAAATGTTGGTGTGGTTGCTGTCACATCTTGAGTTCAGATGTTGATGAGAGATGCAATGAAACACTGCAGTACAGAAGGGAATATCTGATGTCTTGATAAAACTTAGTTTTGATATTGGCTTGATGGTTTTTATTTGAAAAGAAGCATGAAAACCTCACTTCTCTAAGGAGTTTATCATACCTCCTGAAATTCCAAGTAACACTTAGGACTGAAAAAATGGAGTGTTTTTGAACAGGGTTTTTGTTATTTTTCCTTTGTTCATTTGGCAGTGCTTTTATAATGCCAGTTTCACTGTTTTTACCATCTGTCAGTTTCTGTCTTGTTGTAAAGATCTATTGTGAATGTCAGGGAGATATATCAACAGGGGAATAGAAAATAAAACTTTTACATAGCAAAATAAAGGAATGTAATTAGTTGGATGCAGCATTTAAAGGACGTTCTGTTAGAAAGCAGTGTTTCATTTTATTTAGGTATTTAAAAAATCAAGTTTTAAATCCCTGAAAAAAGAAATATACTCCACACTAGAATTAGAAATCAGTGCTTGGATGTCCAAGGAATATGCAGCTATTACTTCTGTTAACAAGTAAAAGTACACTTATGTGGAATTAGTAAGAAACAGCATCAAGCAGCTTTAATTCATATAAGTCTATGAGGCACTCACTATATTATGGCTTTTAGTTGGGGGGGAGGGAAGGGGGCGGGGTGCAAAGCTGTCTTTAGGTCCTAGATGCAAACTTTGATCTTGAACAAATACTGACCCTCCAGTGCAGTTTTAGGTGAACGCTGTGGTGCTTAATAGGTGCTAAACTTGTGTAAATTTCTGGTAATTTCATATGTATGAAGAATAAATATAGTGTAGCACATCTTGAGGAGTGAGAGAGAAAATGCCACTCTTCTAAAGAATCTTTCCTCCCTTGGTTTAAAAAAAAAAAAAAGAAAGTATTTTCAAATGTCCAGGGAGATGTGCAGGTTACTGAATTTGTGTGTGCGTGCCTACATCATCGCCACTATGCTAACTATATTGTAATTGATAGCTGGCAAGATGCTTACATTTTCTTGTGGCTTATTCTCTGCAACCAAGACATTGTTTATCTCGCTGTAAATTTCCTAGCTGGAGAAAGACTCCATCATCTTATTATTTGGGTGTGGTCAGTTACATTGTTCTTGAAGAGTCATTATAAATAGAGAAAGTAGGACTTACTTTCACTTTTGAATGTTGTACTTCTGTTTCCTTAGGTCAGGAATTGAATTGTCGGGTGAAGGCTTCTCTTCACGGTGCATGGACGGAAAGCCAATGCGCAGGTAAGGTCAGAACAAAAAACTATAATTCTTTTATGAATATGCCAGGTGATATTGAGTTGATTTCATCAGTAGCCCCTCTGTAAAATGTTTGTTTTTATACTCTAGCTAGTAAGGAGGCTGGTTGTGTTTAAGAGTTAATGACATTGATTTATTTTTAGAGCACAAGACCATGTGTCATTTGAATATGCTCTTAGGGAAAAGCACAGAAGCTAAATGTTGCTGTAATTGCCCATTTTTACTGGCTCGCTGCCTTGCTTAAAAGGTACTTTTGACCAGTTACGTGCATGTTTTGATTATACTGAATGAACTGTTCTGTGAACTATTTAGCCACATGTATAACTCTAATCATGTCCTTGATGTGCATTGAGTTTGACATTTGACCATAGATTCCAATTACATGCTGAGAGAGTTGTCTTCTACCTGTGGGTGGCTGTTGCATCTAGTACAATAGGCTGGGGATACAGCGGCAGGCTCATTCCTGTGTCAAGGGTGTTTTCCATTGGCTAAACATTGTAGTGTTGCAATTCATGCAAGGGTCCCATTTTATCTAGTACTTTTGATTTCAGTTTTGAGTGTCACATAATTATGCTTTGTAACGCATCTAGCTCCACTGTGCCTTAAGAGCAGAGTTGTGCATTTCACTTCCCATTTTCCTTTTTCTGGCAGTCTTAGCCAAAACTCTTCAGTGTCCTATGGAAAAAAGGATGGTGTTTTACAGTGGGCTAGGGTTGAGAGTGGATACTGGATTTGATGTGCTCCCAATAGCACTTCTTGCTGAAAAGATGCTTTGTTGTGTTCTATGCTAAATGGAGTTTCCTAAGGGCTGATATCTTGCTATATTGCACTGATATAGTTCAGCCAGAAGCTGGCAGTGGCATGAATGTGCCAGATGCAAACCTTTGAATCCTTTGGGGATATGCTGGTATATTTTAGAAAGCTCTGTGTAGGCATTTGGGTTCCAGGTTCACTTGTTATCATAGTGATTATTTTAGTACAATTCATGTAAATATTTTCAAATTGGCTTTCAATCTTTTTCAAATCTTACCATAAAATCCAGGTATGTTAATGGAGTAATGCTGTTTTTTATCCTTATGCAGAACTATACAGACATATATAATGGTTCTGTCAGATATTGCAAAGCAAATCAGGGTTGGGGATAGGTCAGTACTTGAATGGATGATTACAATTGTTTTGTATAAAATGTCTCATTCAGAAGTGAGTTAAAACTCTTTTCCCTGAGTAAAAAGAAATTGCAGGTTTGTGATTTCACTAGAGAATTAAGAGTAGATGAAGGAAGTGCTGGTCAGCAGATGCTGATTTTGCATTAGAGCAGGGGTAGGCAATGTTTTTGGGCAGTGCGCCAAAAACACCTGCAACCTTGACTCATAAGATGTTGATGTGCCGGGGCAGATGGCGCGGGAGCCACCAGGGGTCTGATCCTTGTTGTGGCAACGCAGACCTGGCCCCTACCCTGCCATCCACCCACAGCAGGGGTGGGCAATTATTTTGGACAGAGGGCTGCTTACCCAGTTTTGGCAGGCTGTCGAGGGCCTCATGGGTAGCGCCACCCCCTGGTCACCACCTTAGTCCCAAGACATTGGGACATTGGTCCTAATGTCCCAGGGCCAGCGGGCACAGACTGGCAGGGATCAGTGGAGCTGGGCTGGGCTGCACCAGCAGGGAGAGGGGGGACCTGGCCTGGCTCCATAGAGCTCCTGCTGGCCGGGACCCCACACTCCTGCCACCCTGCTCTGAGCCCTGCCGGCACTGGCTCCAGGGTACTGGTGCGGGCCCCGTGCTCCTGCTGGCTCCTCGCCCCCTCACTCCCAGTGCCCCCCAGCCCTGTGGTACAGGCAGGGGGTAGCGCACAGCCCTGACCCCCTGTTCGCCAGCAGGAAAGAAGCTGGTGCTGAGTGTGGGGAAAAGCGGCCCCTCGCCTGCCTCATGCCCGGCGGGCCCTGCCGGCACTGGCTCCAGGGTACTGGTGCGGGCCCCGTGCTCCTGCTGGCTCCTCGCCCCCTCACTCCCAGTGCCCCCCAGCCCTGTGGTACAGGCAGGGGGTAGCGCACAGCCCTGACCCCCTGTTCGCCAGCAGGAAAGAAGCTGGTGCTGAGTGTGGGGAAAAGCGGCCCCTCGCCTGCCTCATGCCCGGCGGTCCCTGCTGTAGCTGCTCACAGCCCACATGGGGCTGTCTGGAGCAGGCACAGGCAGCCCCACGTGGGCTACGAGTGGCTGCACACAGTGACAGCAG